TGTTAAGTATGTTGGCTGATACTTGCCAATAGAACAGTCTAAAACGTTAATCTGCTCTCTCACTCTATAGATCTCATTTAGAAATAGCCTGAGTTTATCAGAGACTTTTTAGTACTCCAATAGTATAAGAAAATAAACCAGCCAGAGCCAGCTGTGTGAGCCTGGATAATAGATCTTTCATACACTGATTGACAATTTCCAGCCATCAAGGGAAAGTGAGGTTTGTGCTTTATTAGGTAAAAATGGAGTAGTTTTGTTATGTTAGTGGGATACTTTCCAAAACTAAAATGTCCTTGAATTTTTGTGACCCAGGGGTGATGGTAATTTGTAAAACTGTCCTGCCATGCAATCTACTTTTTGTGTGCTTTTGGAAATAACAACAAAGCAGTCAGTGCAGGGAGTGAACTTGCAAGTTATTAGGAAGATGAATGCCTCCTAAAACAGAATTGTTGGATAGGAATCTTAGCCAAAGGATGGGAAAGCAGATAATGCTGAAATTAGACATTTTTTTGGGCTAGTCCAAAGTCAGCTGCATCTCTCCTCAACCCAACTTCTCATCTCCAGGGTTTTGGACAAGCTTAATATAGTGAATTGTGCTTGTTCTTTAACTGGTGACCTGATGCTCTGTCCACAGCCAAGATTGCACTACAGAGAGTCTCCTATGATTTCTAAAATGGACAGAGAAACTGATTCAGATGCAGGTTTTTGCACTCCATAAACATCTTTATGCTGAGAAGGGAAACCAGACCAAGAGAGGATGAGTTGGCAATTATATCACAACTATATTGCAAATGGGACCTTCTTGCAATCAATTTACTCTTCTTCGTACCTTGTTTAATGAAGAACTCTGAAAAGAGAAGTTCTGGAGATGACTATTTGACTTGAAATGCTGTTTTGCCTGAGACCTAAAGTAGAATTTGATATCCACATGTACTAGGAGGCTGGAATTCTGCCACTATAGGTAGTCCTTATTAATAACAGTAATTGGGACTGAAATTTCTGTTGCTAATCAATGTGGTCATAAAGCACACCAGGACATGACCACATTTAGTTACGGCAATTCCTGCACTCCCTGTTGTGGTCATTAAGGAAGTCAGATGGCTCACAAGCAGACTGGCAGAAATTGGCTGCTGCTAGATTGAGAAGGGTGTGTGCAGATGGTCCACAAGGTGAATGCTGCTTTTATGGTTGCAAGCAATTAATTGGAGTGACTTGTGACTTCCCTGTTGGCTTCTCCATTGACTTTGCTTATAGGAAGCCAGCAAGGAAGATTACAAATGGTGAATATGTAACTGTAGGATACAACAACTGCCATAAGTATGCAGATTCCAGATTGCAAACCTATGACTGCTGGGAATGGCTGGAACTTTGAGGATGCATCATAAATCTTCCTTCCTTCCTTCCTTCCTTCCTTCCTTCCTTCCTTCCTTCCTTCCTTCCTTCCTTCCTTCCTCCATCCCCTCCCCTCCCCTCCCCTCCCCTTTCTTTCTCCCTCTATCCCTGGTCAGCACAAAGAGACAGGGCTGGAGTGGCAGAGTGACTTCTGATAGAAGATCAATAACAGACACTTGTAATAGAAGATCAATAACAGAGAAGCCACTAGTCAGTGATGAGGATATATCTTTGCTTTTGTGAATCAGTTTAAATCACTACCATTAGTTTGTTTATCTGTCAGACAGATGAACTTGTCTCATAGGATAACCTTTCCATTCTCATTTGTATGTAGAAATGGACACATTGATTTGGGGGAAACAATCTCTAACTTCCATGTTAGTTACAGGAACCCTTTAAGAGATGATTCCCTCTTTTTCAGCAGTAGAGTAGGTGAATATGTAACCGCAGATCTGGAAGAGAAAATGCAGGATTTCAGGAAAATACAAACAGTCTTCTCTACAGTTTAACTTCACAGGCTTGCTACTGTGAAAAAAAAAAGAAGGAAATATAGGAGGAAATAGGAAATATTGCCTTTAATATACTGCCTTTAGTTGTTCAAAAGGTGAAAAATCTTCATCCTAGCATTTTCGCTCAAATGCAAGGTCTGCTTTCTGGATCAATGAATCCCATTTCATACAATCAGATGCAGAAACTGAGTCCAACTGGATAATTTTCATGTTCATGATTAATTGTGTATTTCCACCCTTGCTTTGGAATTTCCCTGCATTTGCCATCAGTACCAATAAAGGAGAATATTTGTAGCTTGGGGCTGGAATCATGAGTCCTTGGCACACTCTGAGCTTGCTTGCTTTGTTGTAGACTCAAGGTAAAATCATCAATGCTAATCACTAGAACTGATCGGGGTATCTGGTTTGAGGAATGAAATATCTGCAAGAAAACAAGCAAGTTCAGAGAGCACCAAGGACCCCTCATCTATCATCAGCATTAAAATGGTAGGTGCAGACATGCAGAATGTGGGCTTCTGCTTGTAGGATGTGGACAAAACCATTTTAGATATTTTTCCTGCATTTTCCTCTATCATTAGTGTAATTCCTATCTGCTGCCAGATTGTATCATGCCAGATTGTATCATTCCTTCTTCATGTGTGAAGAAGGAAAACGCCTTATGACCAATGGACTATGTGCATCTCCATGGCATATAAAGGATGCTCAGCGCTTTTAGTGGTTGGCTAGCACTCAATGCTATTAGGTGGACTATCATTTTATACTTACACTTAGATTTTGAGTGAATTGTTATAGGTCTATCATGGAGAACTCTAGTCATTTCCTTCCATTGCAGCCAAGTTGCATTCATCCCCACGTGTGTTATTTCTAATCTGCCTTATTAGGATAGAACTTCAGACTGGGAAGAGTTTGCCTGCAATATTGCATTCTAACCAGTGGTGGGATTCAGCCGGTTCGTACAAATTCAAGCGAACTGGTTGTTTAATTACCCCACCCCCCCACTATCAAAGTGGATCCTGGGCGCTGCGCTGCAATGGAGAAATGGGAATGGAGCAGCTGATGTGAGGGAAGAAGAAGGCCGCTTTCCCTCTTTCTTCTTTCTGCTCTTTCTCCTTGTCCTTGTCTCGTGCCGGCCAGTCCATTGTCCGTTTCTCCTTTGCAGTGCAGTGCAGCATCCAGGATCCACCTTGATAGCAGTGTGTGTGTGTATATAATGATTTGCCTGGCCATAGTAACCCGACAGTCTCCCCTCAGAGACTTTGATCATGCTGCCAACTTAATTCCTCGCCCCTCTCACTTTTGCTCGCAGAAGGATCAACACCCCAGTGGTGGGTTTCAAAAATGTTTACTACCAGTTCTGTGGGTGTGATTTGGTGGGCGTGGCTTGGTGGGCATGGCAGGGGAAGGATACTGTAAAATCCCCATTTCCTCCCAATCAGCTGGAACTCAGGAAGCAGAGAATAAATGGGGGTGGGGCCAGTCAGAATTTTTACTACCGGTTCTCTGAACTACTCTAAATTTCCGCTACTGATTCTCCAGAACTGGTCAGAACCTGCTGAAACCCACCTCTGCAACACACCCTGCAGGCAGGTCCACAGGGAACGGGGAATCCCTCCCTCCACTTCCCCCCAATTCTTTACCTTCCCTCACGAACTCTTGGGAGCATCAGTTCCTTGTCTCTATGGTAACCCTCTCTCCTTGTCCCTTGGAAACCTCGCATCCAGAAGGTTGAAACAGCCAAGAGATCAACATGCAGACAAGCACCCTCAGAAACAGCCTTTTGGCAAAGGGTGGAAATTTAACAACTGGTTCGCCCAGGGTCAGGTTGGCTGTTGCGGGAGGCTCGTCCCGCATGTGCGGCTGAGCTGGAGGATGGGGATGGGCCACGCCTTCCACGACAACCATCATGACCCTGGGTGAACCGGTTGTGTCCCACTACTGATCTAACCACTGTCCCACCAGGTCTCCTGTGTTTCAGCTATAACTATGATAGCTTCTGATTCCAAGGCTTCAGCATTCTGCACAAAGGACAAGATGCATTGGGGGCAAGGAGTTGGTTGTGAGAACCTGTTCATTATCCAAGCATAGAGCTTGAGGCAATTGCCCCAGGATCCTCCAACTGCTATTTCAGTAACCATGAGGTCTACAGCATCATCTTAGTCATCATATTAAGATGTAAGAACATAGTATGAACAATCCAATCCAAATCTAAATTTATTTCATTGCAGCCTTTAAAGAGAAAAACTGGGGGGGGGGGAACCCCTTCAGAAATATTGGCCAAATATAGCAAAGTCAACATATCCATCATCAAATAAAATCTTAAAAAATTAAGACTTAGAAATTAGAGAAAGGGAAAGGGAAAAATTAGGTAACATATAAGATAAAATAGAATACATTTGGATGTGGCATGTTATGTGAATGTGCTAGATAAGAATACAGATTTAAGGTTTACTAACTTGTGGGAACATGGCCATCATGCCCAAAGGAAAAAAATGCAGAAGAGCATGAGAGCAGGAAATACAACTTTTATAAAAGCTCAAGGAATTATAAGGGCATCTCTAGAATACTGAAAGGAGAGAAACATGGAGAGAAGGGATCAGCTCATAGTGTAATATTTTGTTGCAAATATTTCTTGTGTCTGTGTCTCAGGTTTTCAGCCAGACAGTTTTACAGAAAGGAAAAACAAAACCCTCAAATTTAAGCTAATTGGAAGACTTTCCATTTGAGATTATATCCCCGAATACTGATTTTAAATAAAGTACTGCTGGATGAGGGGTGGGGGACTTATCAGATTTCTGTTTTGAGGGGGAAAAAATTCTTGGAAGAATTAAGCAATAGAACTGCCAAGGGATATTTTACAACCCCAAATATCACTGAAGACATTCAAGACAAGACAAGACATATATATCTATAATGGGTGTTTTAGGAAGAGTCCATTCAGACTGCAGGAAATGATGGACATGACCAATGGGAACCAGGGGGGAGGACTGAGCAGTTGCATCAGACTGCACATATCCATGTAGTAGAGGTGGCTTTGCTCATCCTTGTTTCTTCCTGTTGGCAAACATCTCATTTACTCAATTTCTACACTTCATTCCATAGTTGCATAAGTATCAAATGCCTTTCCAACGAAAAGCAGCCGAGTGGATATTGAGAAGATATGCATGGATGGTAAAGATAAAGGTAAAGGTTCCCCTCACACATATGTGCTAGTTTTTCCTGACTCTAGGGGGCAGTGCTCATCTCCGTTTCGAAGCGCTGTCCAAAGATGTCTCCATGGTCATATGGCTGGCATGACTAAACACCAAAGGTGCATGGAATGCTGTTACCTTCCCACCAAAGGTGGTCCCTATTTTTCTACTTGCATTTTTTATTAATTTATTTATATGTATCCCACCTTTATTATTTTTAAAACAATTGAACATTGCAAACATATCCAACATACATTCTTTCTATGTTCCTCATAACACAACCCTGTGAGGTGAGTTGGACTGAGGGAAAGTGACTGTTTGAAGCACGGGTGTCAAACTCGATTTCATTGAGGGCCACAGCAGAGTTGATTTCACGTCGGGGAGCTGAGGGGGGGCATGGCCAGTTTGACATCACTCGTGTCAGGGGTGCCTGGGGTGACTCGAGTGCTCTACCAGCGAAAACAGGCTTGCGAGCTCAGTTTTCAGCTGGGATGGCCTCCTGCAACCTTCTGCCAGCAAAAACAGAGCCCTTCTGAGCTCTGTTTTCAGCTGGGATGGCATCCTGCAACCCTCTGCCAGCAAAATTGGAGCTTGGGAGGGCCAAGTGTGGCCCTTGTGAGGTCTTTTCAGCAGGGATAGCCCCCTGCAACCCTCTGCCAATGAAAACGGAGCTCAGGAGGGCCTCATGCGACCTTCCTGAGCTCTGTTTTTGCTGGCAAAGGCACCACAGGCCAGTACTTCACTGTTTCCAGGGCGGACCAGTGGGCCAGAGCTAAGCATCCCATGGGCTGGATCTGGCCTGCGAGCCTTGAGTTTGACACCCCTGGCCCAAAGTTACCCAGCTAGGTTGGGACTTGAACTCATGGTTGCCTGCTTTCTAGCCTGCTGGAACATCATAAAATTATATATAAAATGCATATGCCATCTCCTTCAATGATTCTAATATAAATTTAAATACAATATAAAACATTGAAATATTACAATGATAAATATCAACATTAAAGGTAACCAAGATAGCTAAAGAAAGAAGCAATATAATGTCTTGTATAATGTTGTATTAATATCATTCTCATTCCTTATCTATATCTTTCACTGATGTGTTAGCTGCAGTATTGGCTGTGTCCGTGGCAAAGGAATATTTGGAGGCACTAATGGGATGTTGAATAGCCAATATTATGTGTGTCTTCTCTTTTCTCCTAAGCATGTTAGCATAATATGGGGGTATTCCTCAACGAGAGGCAAAACTGAATCTTTCAAATAGGGTAAATAAACTGGGGAAAAATTGGGATTTTCAGGCCACTCTGATGATTAAAATACACTCTGACATAATAAACTAAACTAAACTATAAGCTGGGACTGCAGAAGTGTCTAGTGTGGTCCGGGAGATTGGAAGTGATCAGTTGAAGAAAAATAATATTACAGTTGGAGAGTAGCCAAGGTATGGATTAAGACCAGCAAGATTGTTGATGCTACACCAGAAAACTGGCAGCATTTATAAACAGTTCTGGAAAACTATCCTTCAATTACATTGTTCAAAAGACATAAGCTATAATGTACCATTCTCGTATTGGAAGATGCAGTAATATTCATTCAAGAAAAAAAAAACATACCTTCTTAGCCTTGGGAAAATAAACTTGTTAGATGACTTAGAATGCTTATGTGCAATTTATGTTTATGACTAGAGAAGGAACAAGATATTCATCATGGGAAGGAATTAAGAATGATTTAATTATGGTGCTATAAAGGAATGTACTTAAGTGACCATTTCAAGTAGAGCTGGAAACCTGGGGTTCTCCAGACTCTTAGTATTTCTCTGCATTGCATATACTTGCTGGTCTTGCTAGATGTTGAGTTCAGCAACATCTGGAAGAATACAGATTTTGCAGACTTTCTGACTTAATGATATTGCCTCTCCTTACAATTAATTTATTTGGTTTAATAATGGCATACATGCAAGATTGAGATATTAGCCAACTATGCAGTAGTTCCACCACCCTATCTTCAGATATATAAAAATAATCAAGGCAGTGGCTGCAATTGTGTAAGTGAAGCTCTGTCTCTTTTTGTGTACATGTGTTAATTTTTTTACACCCACTTTTGAAGTATGAATGGTTTTATAGCACATCCTGATTCCATTATAACACTTCACGATGTTATTTTCAATATAATATTTATTAACACCTAAGTAAAAAAAAGACTCAGTAAACCAAAGAGTTTAAGCAAAATTGATCATTTATTTTGGCTTAACAATCACTAGGACATAGTATTCTAAATATCTATGTTATAATGCAAAAGTACAATTACCATATTAGCATGATTTTAATTTAGTAGGCACATTAATTATTGTTATCAATTTATTATATTTTTATGCCACCACACAGCATATTTATAAAATAATCAGAAAAAACATGGATAATTGATGAAAATATCCACAGTAAATGTGACTAAATTAAAAGAACCAATAATTAAATAAAATTTCAAAACAAGGATATAATATCTTGAATCGGTAAAAGGTAAAGAAATCCCTGTGGATTTTACTTTGCTAGTCATTGCTGACTACAGCAGGGGGTGCTCATCTCCATTTTAAGGCTATTGAGCCAGGACTGTTGAAGACATTTCTGTGGTCATGTGGCCAGCATGGTGTTACTGAGTGCTGTTACCTTCCCACCAAAGTGGTACCGGTTTATCTACTTGCATTTGTATGCTCTCGAACTGCTAGGTTGGCAGGAACTGGAAAAAGGACAGAAGCTCATCCCATTATGTGGCACTTGGGCAGTGGTGGGTTTCAAAATTTTCTACTAGCGGTTCTGAGGGTTTGGCTTGGTGGGCATAGCAGGGGAAGGATACTGTAAAATCTCCATTCCCTCCCCACTCCAAGGGAAGGATACTGTAAAATCTCCATTCCCTCCCAACTCCAGGGGAAGGTTACTGCAAAATCCCCATTTCCTCCTGATCAGCTGGGACTCGGGAGGTAGGGAATAGATGGGGGCAGGGCCAGTCAGAATTTTTACTACCGGTTCTCCGAACTACTCAAAATTTCCGCTACTGGTTCTCCAGAACTGGTCAGAACCTGCTGAAACCCACCTCTGCACTTGGGCCTTAACCAGCCAACAAGCCCAGCGTCTTAACCACTAAACCATCCTAATATTGTACTGGTAATGATGAAAAATGAATAAAACAAATCACAATGAAACCAGATGAAAATAATACCAGTACTTAAATCAACTTTACATTATTCAGTGAATTAAAGGCAGAACAGATTCATCAGCCAAATGGTCTTCCAAATAATTTTATCTTAGAAAGGATGGAACAGGTCATAATTCCAGAGTGGGATGTTCCACAAGACTAGAGCAGCAGCTGAGAAATAGCATCTTCTGGCCCACGGTCATCTGTAAGATAAGGGAAGTCAAAATATGAAGATGATGAAGATGACTGATCATCCATATACCATATTTTTCTACATAAAAATGTAGACAATGGCTCCTGTGGACTGCTTTGCAGATGGTATGGAAACTGAAGCCTATGTATTATCTGACATTAGAACACAATTGAGGTTGGGTGAATGTGAGAAGGTGTTTCAATATAATTTCTGCTTTCCTTCCTAGCAGTCTAATCTATTCGCTCTCCCAATTCTTAAGGATATGATAAAAGGAAAGAAGTATGTCATTGTGATTCTAATTTCTTTAATGTTCTTTAATCACCAGACTTTGCATCATCAAATATTTTCTTTTACTGGAACTACAGAACTTCAAGGTCATGTTGGTTCTGCTGGAGGATCTGCAGAAGAAAAAGGTCCAATCCAGTGGTGAAATCCAAATTTTTTTACTACCGGTTCTGTGGGCATGGCTTGGTGGGTGTGGCTTGGTGGACGTGGCAGGGGAAGGATACTGTAAAATCCACATTCCCTCCCCACTCCTGGGGGAAAGGTATTGCACAATCTCCATTCCCACCCCACTCTGGGGCCAGCCAGAGGTGGTATTTGCTGGTTCTCCAAACTACTCAAAATTTTCACTACCGGTTCTCTGAACTGCTCAAAATTTCCACTACCGGTTCTCCAGAACCTGTCAGAACCTATTGGATTTCACCCCTGGTCCAATCACTAATATTTTTTCAGAAGAAAGACAAAGGGAGGCAAAGGAGAGAAAAAACAGAAAACAAATAATTAATTATTAATTAATCAAGTTAATTTATTATTAATTAATTTAATAATTAATAATTATTTAATATTTTGCCTTTTCGTAATAACTGTTCTACTCTTATCACACAATTTGAATTTACCACTATGTTTGAGTTTCTACTATACCAAAATGTAGGATTGTCTTCACCTACTTCATGCTTTCCTTTATAAAATGCCTTTCTTTCATTTTGGGACTGTGGGGATGATTAGGTTCTCTCCATCTGTTTCTACTTAATTCATGTTCCTTCTAAAATTGTTGTTTTAGACAGAGGCACAGCAAGATTGTTGGGTGAAGGTGCTATTCCTTGCCAAGCATACAGTGAGATAAGGTGGTTTCTATATATTTTTGATCACAACAGTCACTGCAAGCTATTACCGCTGCTGCTACTAGAGGCACTAAGTGTTCTGTTACAAAAACCTTGCTCTCTGTGCTATAATCTGTATATCAAAAATAGTGAATTAGATATAGATCTGAAATCTACATCAATGTGTTGGACTCTTCCATGGGTAGCAAATTCCAAATACAATGTTGAAATGAGCCAATCGATCTCCAACCAATTTACCATAAATTCTTCTATTTTACTTATTACATCACTGGCATCTTTGAAACAGCTGAACAAGTGTTTCCTTTGGTGGACCTTGTAAGATTAGTTAACATTTTTATTAACATTGTCAGACTTTTCCATGGGCATGGATTGTATATATACATCTATTTCTCTTTGTCCTTTTCTCATCATATGCTAAATACATATAATTGGCATATTGGTGTTCATCTTACTGATATGTTATCACTTTCTATTTTACACATTTATTTATTTATTTATTTATTTATTATATTTCTATACCGCCTTTCTCCCGTAGGACTCAAGGCGGTGTACAGTCAAGAAAAATATAGACACACAAACATCATAAAATTGCTAATTAAAATTATTAATTAGTTTGGTCAATTAAATAAAACCCAGAATTAGATAACATTTAAAAAATCATTCACATGTTCGTATGTTTAGCCCCGCCTGTTGGAACATCAGGGTCTTGAGGGCATGGCGGAAAGCACGGAGATCAGGGATATTCCGTATCTCCGGGGGCAGTTCATTCCAAAGGGTTGGAGCCCCCACAGAGAAGGCCCTCCCCCTGGGAGTCGCCAGTCGACATAATTTGACTCATGGTACCCTGAGTAGTTCCTCCCTGTGAGAACGAACTGGTCGGTGGGAGGCTATTGGTGGCAAAAGACGGTCTCGTAGGTACACATGAAGAACTGAGGCCAAATGATGGGAATAAATCTCTTATATTTTGTCCAAACATTCCATATTTGTGTCTACCCACTGCCCATTTTATTTTGATTTGGAGATGGTATATCTGGATGACTGTTGGCCTTGAAGAACTAAAAGTGATAATCACCAATTCTGCATTAGACTTCCATTCCATGTTGGCTATGTATTCTAGGACGTAAGGTCATCCTGTACATGCAATATCCAATTAGGTAAACTTGTTATACAACTTTGAGATGAAGTTTGCATATCTCTCAAATTTCAAAATTCTTGAAAATGCAGTAATTTAAATGTCTCCCAATAATCATTTTTCTTAATAAGTTTTCATGACTCAAAGTGCCATTGTAAGAATCAAAATAAGACAAAAATAGAACATCTAAGGCTACCTTTCTTAGAATTATCTTCTTGCTCTTCTACATATATAAATCCTCTCTCTCTCCACTCTCTGTTAGAAAAATCACATTAATCTTACAAATACTGATATGTGTTTGTGTATGATGAAAACTATGCCACTTAAATAAAACACTAAAGCACTGATCAAAGTCTTGGATAATTGTGCTGTTTGATTGATAGCATTACTCTTCGGCTAATCAAACTGTAAATTTGATATGATGTTCTTTTTTTAGATGTTTTTTCAAACCCTACCAGTGTTTGCCATTAATTGTGGAATTCACTCAAAGGCTAATGATACCACATTACTACGCTGATTAATTTTTCAGCTACATCCAACCTGTGAGAAAACCTGCCTGAAGAGAACACCATAGAGGCCACCTTGAATAAAAGTTGGGATATAAATCTAAAGAAAAAATAAATGATCTGGAAAAATATTTGTCATTGAAAACAAACCTCTTGTTACAGGAATTTAAAGTGTCGTTTCTTATAGCCAATTTATAGAGAAAGCAATATGAAAATGTAGTTTCTTTTTTTTTTCCCAGAAAAAAAGGAATATAGTGTATTTTTTTGTGTATTTTAATATTTTACCTCACCTCTATAAATTCACTGATAGATTCAACACAGGATACTCATGCAATTTGTGTTTGGTTTTTTTTTTTTTAAAAAAACAACAACAACTAATTTCATCCATTCTTGAGTTATCAAAATATTTTCAAAGGGTGAGAAAATGCTGTCTGAGCTTTTAAAAAGGTAAATATTTTTAAATATGTTGGGCATCTAATTATTTTCTAGACAGGAACAAGGTCATAATAGTTGTATATCACACTTGAGAAAAGACAGAACTGCTGAACTATTTTTCCCTCCTATACAATGAGAAGTTAGGAATGTCCTATCAGAGAACATAAATATTTCCTTAAAAAGGAGGCGAACTAGTGAACATTTACATCAGTTTTCTTGGCTAAGGTACAGAAAATTCATATCACTACTCCCTCATCCTTCCTTTTCCTCCACAACAGCTGCTTGTATGTGTAACATATCTACAATGACTTTCCAACAGCCATCTGCTGAAGTGGACTATGATCAACTAAGCAAATATTTCTACATTAGTTTACATTTTAAGGTATTCTCTGGTATCTCTTGAATGGTTCATCTTGAACACTTAGTTACTATTGTCACTTGCTTTTATGAAATATTTATTTATTTGCACATTTCACAATTTTACTGAATTCCTGAAGATTGAGGTAGTTGAGGTGACATTTCTACACACATTCTGTATACAGTATATAGGAGAAAGGTGAATTTAGTGCTGTGGTCTCTGCAGCATCCTTTTAGGTCAGGGCAAGTAAGTAAGCTTGGCTTTTTATTTGCAAGGAATAATGATAAGGTCCTAATCTGGGGAAAAGAAGCAACTGATTAACAGATTAACAGAGTTGGAAGGGACCTTGTAGGTTATCTAGTCCAACCACCTGCCCAAGCAGGAGACCCTACACCATTTCTGATGTAGGTTATCTAGTCCAATCTCTTCTTGAAAGCCTCCAGTGATGAAGCTCCCACAATTTCAGAAGGCAAAGCTGTTCCATTGGTTGATTGCTCTCACTGTCAGAAAATGTCTTCTTATTTCTTGGTTGAATCTCTCCTTGATCAGTTTCCATCTATTATTCCTTGTCTGGCCTTTGGGTGCCTTGGAAAATAGCTTGACCCCTTCCTCTCTGTGGCAGCCCCTCAAATATTGGAACACTGTTTAGAAGATCTGATACACTACACTTTGCTTGTAGCACAAGAAAAAAAATGGGTCAACAATGTATGGAAACATAAGTAGAAACAAGTTAGTTTGTTCAACTATCCCAGGGTTTTTCAACCTTGCTAACTAGCCTGAAGATGGAAGGGCTTCAATGGTCCCAGTAATTCCCCAGACAACATGAAGAATACTGGGAGCTGAAATCCAGACATGTTCAGGTTGCCAGGTTGTAAAACATCGATCTAACCTAACCATAATTGAAAATTTCCCAAACACTATATGAAGCTTTTTTTTAAAGAAAAATCACACTTTTATTTAATAACTTGAAAATTTGTCATGCAGTGCCTAACCTGCCCTCCAAAGGCATATTTTTTACTTTCTCCACAGAAATACACCCAGCACAGAGTTCTCAATTGGTAAGAGTGATTAGTGCATCCACCACATTGCCCATGTGTTCTCGTAAGCTGCGTTCTTGATGGTGACTTTTGCCAGCTCTTTTTCTCGCTCCTGCTTTGCTTTCTGCTCTCTAGATCTTCGGTCCCCTATCACTGACATGGTTGTTTCCAGGTTGGAGCTCTGGATTTCCTTCTCCGTGTAGTCGGTCACGCGCTCCAGATCCGCTGCGCCGCTGTCATGTTTTTGTGGCTTCTCGGCTGGGCGCCCCCTGGCGCCATCCCTGCTGACCGCGGAGCCGTTGGGCTCGGCCTCCGGATCCAGCTCCACGTCTCCCTCGGCCGCCATTGCCCTGCCGGCCCCTGCAGTCCACTATATGAAGTTTTATGATTCTCATGACTGATGAATTTTGCAATTTTAACTAGAAGCCTTATCAGTTTTGATTTGGATCTGCTCTGGTAGAGTGTATGTTAAACTTCTGAAGTTTACCACGAGATATCTTTTTTTTAAAAAAAGAGGATAACAAAAGAAAAAAAAAACGCACACCAAGGAACAAAGAAGAAAGTTTATTTTATTTTCTCTCACATTTAGCACTGCATTTATAAATCTTAACGGGATATATGAGTTGGGATAGGAATGAGATTTTTTTAAAAAATTCTAAGAGTTGGGAAACTTTCAGCTATTTCAATACAGATAATCCTTGATTTATAACCATTTGTTTAATGACCGTTCTAAGTTACAACAGCACTGAAAAAAGTGACTTGTGACTGTTTTTCCACACGTTATGACCATTGTGGCACCCCCATGGTCACATGATCAAAATTTGGACACTTGGTAACTGACATATATTTATGACAGTTGTAGGGTCCCAGGGCCATGTGATGACCTTTTGAGACCTGATTAAGGGAAGTCAATAGGGAAGCCAGATTCACTTAACAAACATGTTACTAACTTAACAAATGTAGTGAGAAAGGACATAAAATGGATCAAAGCTCAATTAACTATTGTCTTCCTTAGCAACATAAATTTTGGGCTTAATTACAGTTGTAAGTTGAAGATTGCCTGTAGTTGTTCTTGATTAAAATGAATGCTAAAAACATCCTTTTCACTTAAAAAGCTTGTGTTGTCTCTGAACTTTCATCCCAAAATGTTTTAATAATTTTTCCTGAGATGTCTGATCAAAGTTCCATCAGAGTAATTACTTCATGGATAAACTACTTCATGTGGCCAGTGAAATACCATGTATTCAAAACACACGAGAAAATGTCCTTTGGGTCTTGATTTGAGACAAAAATTCTCTTTCAATTGTACTAACAACCCTTTCAAGCAATTAGCAGCTGCCTTTTGAAATTGAGAAAAAATGTAATCTTTGTGTTTCTGTTTTGTCTTCATGCTTTTATCTTATTCATGAGTTCCATTAATGCAATGACAATATAGAAATAATGGTTTATCCTTCCACAGAATACAACTTAAGAAACACTATGAATTTTGTAGAACAGGTTTTTCCAACCTTGTGCTCTGCAGGTGTGTTGAATTTCCATTCTCACCATCCTGGATACCGAAGCCTGGCATATTTAATTGATAAGAATTGGGAAGAATGATGCTAGCAATTACACAGAAACCTCTTCAAAAGTGGTGAGGTCTAATGCTCGTCAATTAATCATCTCAGGCAATAGGAGTCTTAGAACACCAGATCTAAGCTCTAGGGAGGGGAACAGTGATAAACAACAAGAGCCACCAGTGGGAAGACTGGGCTGAAATGTCCATCCCTTAATTTGGGATCTGGATTTGACTTCTGCTTCAGGTCTGGTCCTACTACCAATGCAAATAAAGGGATGAATCAGGAGTTCCTTAGAAATACAAGGGATTGTGAAGATGTTGTACTCTCACTTGTTATAATTGATGGTTCAGATTTCCACTTGATGCCTTGGCCCAGTGTCCTCTCCCATGCTCTATAATCTGGTTGATGGAAGGCTGTGTTCCTTGATAAATGTAAACAGGCATGTTAAGATTGTTTAGGTGAGCCTCATGTTTTCTGCTGATAAATGTTGCAGCAGAATCATAATGAATGTTTTTATTCATTCTCTTATTCAATAAAATTCATTTATTGCTCTTGGGTTTTGTTTTGTTTTTTCTGCAAAATATTACCAAATCTAACAAAAAGACACCATTTTAAAAAATTATCGTGTTCATTTAAAATAATTTAAAAGGTGAATTTAGAGAAATCTTGTAATATAATTTTTTTTTATGTAATGGGTTTTTTTTTTTTTGCAAATCATAGAGTGATTTAGGAAAAGGTTCTTTCCTTAGTGCCCCCATGGTAGTTTTCTCAAAAGCACTTCTATTTTTAATAAGCAAATCGGTTCATAAATCAATATACCCATTACATAACTGGTTTTTATGATTTAGAACTTTAGAAATAGTTTATAAACATTTGGACTCTGTCAAAAATGCGTATCCTCAAACTCCTGGCCCATATGTACAGCCTTGGGGACATTCTCTTCCCCTTCAACAATTCCTATGGTAATTTCTGAAGTAATAGAAGGCAACAACAATATACCATGCCAACCATTCATATGAACTTCATTGAATTAACTTTCAGTTCAGTTGAGATTAAATCCTATCCAATCCAAATTTATGCCCCTATCCATGTTTTGGAGTACAGTTAGTCCTTGATTTAGAACAGTTCATTAGTGCCTTCGAAGTTATAACAGCACTGAAAAAACTGACTTTCGCACTTATGACCATTGCAGCAGCCCCATGGTCATGTGATCAAAATTCAGACGCTTGGCAACTGACTCATATTTATGACGGTTGCGGTGTCCCGGGTTTATGTAAACCCCTTTTGCAATCTTTTTGACAAGCAAAATCAATGGGGAAACCAAATTCATTTAACAGCCATGTTATTAATTTAACAACTACAATAATTCGCTTAACAACTGTGGCAAGAAAAGTTGTAAAATGGGGCAAAACTCATTTAACAAATATTTCACTTAACAATATAAATGTTAGGCTCAATTGTGGTCATAAATTGTCTGAATAGTCCTCAGCATACTGGTCCAGAGGCCAAGGTAACCCTTAGTCCCAGTCACTCATGTTGTTGCAGGTATATAAATGACAGATCTTCTCTCCTAAACCTGGTGCTTTTGAGATACGTTCTCAGCCTGGAATAGGAGTTATAATCTCTAAAGGCATGGAACGCACCAAATTGGGGAAGTATAATCTACATCAATGGAAGGCTGTAATATCTATGACCACAGATGGCATGTTAACTTAATAGTAGGAAGGGTAATAGTAAGATATCAGGAAGATACAAGCAGAAGAAGCTATTACTTTTTCTATTTTAGTCGTGCATTTCCTGGAAACATTTGATTGTTTGCTGAAGAAAGAGGTGGATGATCTAGATAGTCTTTTTATATGAACTGGCTTAGCTGTTCTTACACTTTTACAATAATGAAGCAAAGTTTTGCAGAAATTGTAGGTCAACTTTTCAAGGCTGTCATGAAAAGCTTAACCAGGATTAAATGACAACAAAAACAATTAACTCCAATTACATATAGAGTGGATTTCTGTAATGTTACGTTGCTTGAAGACAACTCCATCCTTCCTGCTCTTAAGCTCTTGAAGATCTCCCTGCCTGTCTGTTTGGCAGTCTCCCTACTTTAGCCACCTACTTATCTATATTCTTGGTGGAAAAGCAAAGTATGCCTGTAAAAGAGCATGAAAACTTACTGCAACTTAATTATTAACTGGAAAGCTATGTCTTCATTGCTTGTTTCATGCTTGTTCTGCTTCAGGGCAGCTTTGCTAGTAAATACAGTAATTGTTAACCAGGACAGGAAGAAAAGTAGAGGAAAGGAGGAAAGTTTATACTTGAAAACTGTTATTGTGAACCTTCTTGTTTGGGTGTCCTGGTTTCATTATAAATAAGTATCTGGGAAGGTAGTGCTCTTATTACTGCATCAGGACTCAGCTCATTATCTGGCATTCTTGCTGGGAGAAAAAATGATTTTATATGTGCATAATTAAGAAATTGAAACCAGTAGCTGCAAAAGGAAAAAGCAATAAAAATAAAAAAAATCCCATTCCCTAAAGATCAATGGTTTGCTTACTTAAAATAACTTTTTTTTTTTTGGTTGCCTTTGAGTCATTGTTGACTCCTGGCAACTGCTTGGAATAATCCCTGCAGTTTTCTTGCCAAAAAATTTAAAAGGTGGTTTGTCATTTGCCCTCTTTCCTAGGGCTGAGAGAGAGTAACTGACCCTGGAACAATGTTTTCCTAAAAGCAGAAAGGCAGAGCATGCATCATGAAATCATAAGTGCTGCCACCTTTCATATTTAATGAGTGAAATTCATATTTTATTTATTCATTAGTTACACGACATCCACATAATACTGATGTGGTTTCAGTTTTGCCTCACATTTTGTCCCTCCATTCTTCTGCTTAGAAAATCTCCTTCAGGTTCTGATTAACACTGCTGATTTCATGGACGTGTCCATGTATTTTTCTGGGTGACAATTTGGAAGAACTTTACAACTACTTTTTTTCTGGAGTGTTCTTTGGATTTCCTTGTGTAGCCTACAGCTTTACTGTTACCTTGTAGTCTCCCATCCAAGTCCTAACCAAGTCTAATCCTGCTTATCTCCCAAACCCTAAGAAACAAAATTAGCCAGGTACTGCCACCTGCTGAGACCTGTTTCTGTTTTATCATAACCAACATTTTGGATTTTCTTGCCTCTTAAACTTTCTTCTGTTTTTTATAATATTTTGCTGGATAAAGAGTCTGAAGAATTCAAGTGCTTGCACACTCTTGGGCTATTTTAGTTGGCTCTAAACATAGTCATGCTCTACTAAGTATGTTGGATTTGTGGACTTAGTAATTGATCTGTGCTGTAATAAGTTAACTCTGCTACAGGTCTCAGTTCAGTAACTGGTTGCAAGTTTGGGGGTGCCTGTGATTTTAAAACACATCTATTTGTAAAGTATTTTCTTAATGATTAATTCTGGAACACAACTTTCCCATCCTAAAAAAACAAAATGAAACAACCTCCTGTTTACTTTAATTTTCTCTTGAGTTTATTACAAGCTCTAAGCAGGTAGGAATTGAAAAAAAAAACCAAACCTGTTTCCTGAGCCATGGACAAGACAGAACTAAAATAAAAACTGGGATTGTTTGAAAGAGAAAAATAATCTAAGGTGCTTTTGTCTTCTAAATCCTTTCAGGAGATCCCTTGTTTTCTCAGGGTACTTCCAAGGGCTAATTTGCCAAAGTGTTCAGAAGGAATTAACTGTAGGAAAGAAAAAAAGAAAGAAACATCACTTAGAATTGTGGATGTTTGCTGCCAAGAGGTAAGAAAAAATAAAGCTAATGAGGGGACTGGGGAAGGTGATCCAGTTAAATAATAAGTTTTCTTCAGCAGGAAGTCTGCCTGGTAAGACGTCACCACACTAGACAATGCTTGGTAGAAAAACTCTGACGGAAACAGAATGAAATCTTAGTATTATTCAACTTTGCCCTCACTGACTGCCAACAAAAAATGTATTTTCCAAGATTTATTCTTCCCATGGTAGTTTTCCTTGGTGCACAGTGAACAGAAGTCTCTCAGGGATTTGTTTTATTTGATTTATTTAGCTGCCCGTCTCACATAGATTATTTTATGAAGCCTACAAATTAAAATACAAAAAATAGCCCCCATCAAAGAAGCATCAAAAATACATTAAATAAGATCAGGTGATTGCAGGAACAAACTTACTAGTTAGGCCAAGCTTTTTCATCTGTACAGGGCTCATCTGAAAGAGTTACTTATTAAAGTTTGCACCCATGCAAAAGACAGATCACTGTTATTATTCTTAGATCACAAAAGGATTCTGTGGCTTTCACAAGGCAAGGATTGGTGGGAAATTAGGTTTAAACCTCAGCCAGATTTAAAGAAATACATTGGGGATGATCCTGATAGTTTAGGATCTAAGCTACTCTGCAAGATTGTGGTGTGGATAAATTACTGGGGTTCATGTGCACTATTTTGAACTATTGGAGAAATCTTGGCATATCTTTGCAATAAATACAATAAATATTTGCAATAAATAAATCAACTCCAGTCTCATTCCAAAAGTTCTGATATGTGGAAACCACTAGTATGGATCAACTGGTATGTGAATTGATTCTTGTGAAATTGTAATACTGCATGTGCTATGTACTCCTTTTGTTATGATGGTGCATTTGACATGGTTAACAAGATTTTATTTTTTAGCAAGTAATTGTCTCCTCTTCCTCCTCCTGAATTTAATTTATACTGATTGTATGTAAACATAATGGCTCTTTCAAGATAAAATTGACTGTTTGTGATTAATAGAATAACAGAATTGGAAGGGACTTTGAAGGTCTTCTAGTCTAGCTCCTGTTCAAGAAGGAAATCCTATACCATTTCAGATTAGTGGTTGTCCAATCTCTTCTTAAAAGCCTCCAAGTGATGGAGCATCCACATTTTCTGAAGGCAAGCCTTCACTGATTAATTGTTCTCATTAAGAAATTTCTCCTTAATTCCAGGTTGCTTCTCTCCTTGATTAGTTTCCATCCATTTTTTCTTGTCTTGCCTTCTGGTACTTTGGAAAATAGGTTGACCCCCTCTTCTTTTTGGCAGCCCTTAAATATTGGAACACTGCTATCATGTCACCACTAATCTTCTTTTCACTAGATTAGACATATTCAATTCCTGCAAACATTGTTCATATATTTTAGCCTCCAGTCCCCTACTCATCTTTGTTGCTCTTCTCTACACTCTTTCCAGAGTCTCTATATCTTTTTTATATTGTGGTGACCAAAACTGAATGCAATATTCCAGGTGTGGCCTTACCAAGGCTTTATAAAGCAATGCTAATACTTCATATGTTCTTGATTCTATCCTTCTCTTAAAGCCTAAGATTGCATTGGCTTTTTTGGCAGCTGCAGCATACTGTTGGCTCATATTTAAGTGATTGTCCACTAGGATTCCAAGATCCCTCTCACCCAATTACTACTATTGAGCCTGGTATCACCTATACTATACCTGTGTACTTACATATACATGTACATGTACATATAAATTGCATGGATATATGTGAAAGTAGTTGGTAGTTGCCTTCCCCTATGATTTTTATTTGGGGATTTTGATTTTCTGCTTTTCTGTGTAACTTTGTGATTTCTTAACTGGGTCCCTTCTAAATTTTTTGCCAGTCAGATTCTTCTTTTGGACTTTTGGTGATCAGTCAAGGGTATCTAGGTGCGGTCAGATCAGCCACAAACTATGCTGCTACTGTTGTCTCTACAGCAGAATTAGAAAATGTAGACAACTTAAAGTAAGCACTATTAACACTCAAGGAGGCAAATGTGCAAAGAACTGTTATTTGAAGCACAGCATGTCTAGCTTTCAATTTATTTCCCCTGTGATAATTTTTACACCAACATGAAAAATTTCATTCGTTTTTACATTTCACGGCTTACCACTCTAATATGTGAAAGAAGAGAAAACATGGACTTATAATAAAAGATCAGATGGTCTTTTAAAATATGAGCAGTCTGAGGCAGAGACTGCTATGTTCCCCATACTTTTTAAATAGTTTCCTCTCTTCTAAGTCTACAATTCTTTCTAGGGTCTTATATTCAGTCAATTAGAGATACAGTTTTTCATAATCACTGTATTCACACACCCCTCTTTTATATATATATATGAAAGCTTCACGTTCATTTCAACCAAGCCAAGGAATCCACAGTTCAATCTTTCATGTAGAGAACATCTCTAGAGGCAATACATTGTAGACCAGGGACTCTGAAAACTTTAGCCTGATTTCATTCCTGTAATTAACATGACAGATTTGCTGGCCACAGTATCATCCATTTCTAACCCTGTTATGTTTTACAGCTGCTAAGCAACAGCAAAAGAAGGTCTGCTGTCAACGGTGTGATAGAAAAACACAGTATAATATTTGGTCTGTAGGGATGAGATACTTTTAAACGTTGCATCATTTGGCAGGGGCTAAAAACAGGTGGTTGGTTTTCTCAAACTGGGAAAATGTAGTTTTTGACATTAGGTTTCAACCCTAGCTAGAAAGAATCTGTATCAATGACAGAAACCCCCACCCCCCAACCAATGAACCATTTTCTTTAAAATTTGATTTGTGGTATAACCAAAGGCTGGCCATTGCAAGTCCTGAATGTCTAGGATTTGTTTATTTTATTAGGCCAGAAATCATAGTTTACTCTTCCAAAATTAATAGTTGTAATATTTAGGTTCTTTATCCTGCAAGATTTATTTCCAGGCATTATGTGGGCCACTTGCTGATTTCTTCTCTGGATGATTAACAACTTTATTTTAAAGGTTGCTGGACTATGCATGGTAGTCCCAAAATGTTTTGATTATCTCAGGGGATTGGGTGGTTTGATTTCTTGATTTCTTAAATTTCTCTCCATTTCTATCTATCAGTTCTCAGTGGATTGCAGTCGACAATTTATCTGTGGTGCAGTAAATCAAAGTAAACAGCCAAAGATTAAATGTCTCAAATTTACACCCAAAATATAAGTTGTAACAAGAACCAATAAAAATGATAAGAAATAAGTAACAAGATATTTATGTTTGAACATCAAAAACTCACTTAAACAGACCTGTTTTTAATCATTTCCCATCATCTAATAAGGTTGGGGTTACTTGAATTTTACAGAGGAGTTTGTCTTTATGTCACAAAACTGAGGTATTACTAACAGGTTCTCCTGAGAGCTTTGACATGGGTAGGTGGAAAAGATAATTATAGAAGGACTGACGTTGTTCAAATAATTTGATTTGAGCCTAATTGATTGCTAACCATTAGTTAAGAATATTCCTGTGCATAAGCATGACTAGCAATAAATCAATTTATTTGAACATTTATGTTAGACCTGACGTTAGTATTCTCAACTAATGGTTAGCAGCTGCTTGGAATTAGATAAGAATCAAAGGAATTCAATGGAGATTGAATTTAGTTTGCTTGTGGCTACATAGGGATTGTAGGCTGATCCCCCTTTTAACTCTGTCTCCAGATTCTGCCAATCCTTCCCTGAAATAGATCTGGAAATACTACATGGTCCAAAAGGTTTCCTGGAAACCCTTCTGAGGTTGTTGATTTTGTTTGTTTAACTTCCCTAACATGTTGTGCTCCACTTATGGCTTCTACTGCATATGTTATTGAATATTATTACAATACTTGGAAGTGTGTGTGTGTGTGTGTGTATTTGCCTAGCTCAAATCAGAAGGAAAACTGTCCAACAGAAGGGAGTCATCATACAAAAGATGGGGTCCTTGTAGATGGCCTTCTCTCAGAGAGCTCCCCCCCTTCAGCTCCAAAACCTGTAGTAGATTTGTAGATTCATAAATTGTTAGAATTCATCAGATTTCAGAGCAGGATATCCAACACTGGAAACCCTATGTCACTATCATCATTCTGTATTTCTTTCTGATAAATTAGCAAGACTGACATTGCAGAGAGTCAAAAAGAAATAGTCTGCAGATCGACCTGTGTGCATGGAAAGACTCCAGCGCATCCAGAGTCTTTCAAATTCTTCCAGTTGTCTTCCTCAAGCTGGCACTGAATCCCAAAGTTGCATTGGATTTAAGTGGAGAAGAAAGAAAAACAAATAAATGACAGGATTGCTGTGGAGAAGGGAAAATCCCCCCCTACAATGTCTCCCCTACCTCATTTTTGCCCAGCAGAATTTTAGAAACTTGAAACCTTGGTGTATGGAATACACTGACCAAGTTAGTAGATCTGCCATTGATAACAAAATACTCTGAAGTCAATTGTCCATTCTCCTGAAAGTAAAAGGTAAAGGTAACAGTTCCCCTCGCACATATGTGCTAGTCGTTCCCACCAAAGATGGTCCGTATTTTTCTACTTGCATTTTTTATATACTTTCGAATTGCTAGGTTGGCAGAAGTTGGGACAAGTAACGGGAACTCACCCCATTACGCGGCACTAGGGATTTGAACTGCTGAACTGCCGACCTTTCAATCAACAAGCTCAGCATCTTAGCCACTGAGCCACTGCATCCCCTTCCTTAAAGTAGTAAACTATGATATTTACTTCCAAATAAACCCACTCATCAATAAATATTCCTGTCTTTGATTTAATCAGCAAGAGATTGGTTCTATTTGCCAAGAACTCTTGAGTCTGGAAACAGCCTTTCTGTCAGAGTAGATTGTGGCAAACATTTATTTGCGGAAAGGACTTCTCTATCTCCAAGTTCTCAGGAGTGAAATTATATAATACCAGTGGTTGGCAGAGGATGCTAGAAGTAACTCTTATCAATTCTCAATAGTTTTCAGAATCTTGGCCAATTTGTACCCAGATCTAACAGAATAACAGAGATTATCAACAGGGACATTGGAAGTCTTCTAGTCCAATCCCCTGCCAAACAGGAAACCCTATATGTTGATCAATGTTGCTCTCTTCCCACTATTGACCTTTTAAATATTTAAAGACTTCTGTCATGTCTCCCTTTAGCCTTCTCTTTTTAAGGATAAAGTTACCCAACTCTTTAACCATTCTTCATAGTATTTAACCAACTGAACCATGATAAATGGTTTGTTTATGATAAATGAAGAATGGTTACATGAACTGGGCATGGCTAGTCTAGTGAAGAGAAGGACCATGTTAGCAGTATTCCAATATTTGAGGGGCTGCCACAGAGAGGAGGAGGTCAAGCTGTTTTCCAAAGCACCTGAAGGCCAGTTAAGGAATAATGGATGGGAACTGACCAAGGAGAGATTCAACCTAGAAATGAGGAGAACTTTCTGACAGTGAGAACAATTAACCAATGGAACAGCTTTGCCTTCGGAAGTTATGGGAGCTTCATCACTTGAGACTTTCAAGAGGAGATTGGACTGCCATTTGTCAGAAATGGTGTAGGGTTTCCTGCTTGAGCAGGGGGTTGGACTAGATGACCTATAAGGTCCCTTCCAACTCTGTTAATCTGTCTGTTAAAATAATCTTATCTCAATTTAATTGCTAAAATAGTTTAACAAAAGGATTGTGATGCAATCAATTCTTTTCTATCTTCTTTTTCTTTTTCTTTTTCTTTTTCTTTTTCTTTTTCTTTTCTTTTTCTTTTTCTTTTTCTTTTTCTTTTTCTTTTTCTTTTTCTTTTTCTTTTTCTTTTTCTTTTTCTTTTTCTTTTTCTTCCTCCTCCTCCTCCTCCTCCTCCTCCTCCTCCTCCTCATTATTATTATTATTATTATTATTATTATTATTATTATTATTATTATTTTGTATTAGAACTTTCAACCTTTGGAGCATGGAGCCAGGACACCACCGAAAATCTAACTTGAAGAAAACATGGCATTTTATGGAGATTCTCAATCATCTAGATCATGGTTGTCCCAAAGGTACTTTTCAAAAGGCAGTCCCAAGAAGATTCCACACCCATTCAGATAACCTGGAGTGTACAGATAAACCCCCTAGTGGCCTCAACAATTCTCAGAGAGTTAGCCTTGGTTTTTCAGAGTGCTAATGACTAGATGACTGCTAGGGAATATAAATCCTTCCATTCCCCACCATTCAGTCAGAACTAAAGAAACTTCTTGGATGAAAAGTAAAATGTTTTCAAGGAAAGAACCCCAGGAAAGTCCAGTTGCCTTTTGGGATATTTTATATAAAAAACCGAGACTAGATTAGCTATTTTCTTGCTTCCTCCATCAAACGTTTTAGCATTTTATGTAAGGGAGCAGAAGAACAACAGGATAAAGCAAGGAGTGGCAAAGTATATTTGTTTCTCCAACAAGAATTTCCATCAGGTTGGTTTTAAAAAGAGACATCACTTACTATTAGAGATGGGATCTCAAATTCTATGCTGGAAGTGGTTATGGATCACTGGAGATTTTCCAGATGGAAGGCAACTCCTAATCACATGACATCATTACAAGGGGATTACAATGCTGATTTTTTTTTTTTTTTGAATTTCTGTGTAAGCAGCAGTCTTTCTATGAATGGAGAAAATGCATTTTTTTTCAAGATCAGTCCAAACTGGATCTTTAAAGAAACAAAGGAACAATAGCAGTAGACTTGAGTTTGCCTAACTTTAATGAGTGCCTGGACACCATATTCAACAAGAAAGAAGTTTACTTGGTCAAAATGTTTCCCACTTGATTTATGACTAATTAAGCCCACAATTTCAGTTATAAGTTGTCAGGAACATAAAGTGTCTATAGGCTCTCCAACATTGATCAATAGATGGAAATTAGCCTCTGTATATTTTATGTAAGATGGCCATCTCTTTTGTCTTTTATTTATGATGCATTTCCTTCTCTTCAGTGTCATACAAATAGCAACTTTGTACAATTTTTTAGTTTAATATTTGCTTAATACTGTTTATGAAATAAACTGCCATTGGTTGGCTTCACAAAACATGCTAAGCCATAAACATTGTTTAGAAAGCACAGAGGTGAGGTTCAGGCTAAGGCAAAATGTATTTTCCAAAGCAGCAGAAGTCAAGATTAGAAACAATGGATGGTAACTAATCAAGGAGAGAAGCAACCTAGAACTAAGGAGAAATTTTCTAACAGTGAGAACAATTAACCAGTGGAAGGGCTTATTTTCAGAAGTTGTGGGTGCTCCATTACTGGAGGTTTTTAAGAAGAGAGTAGACAGCCACTTGTTCAGAATGGTATACTCTTCTGCTTGAGCAGGGGGTTGGACTAGAAGACCTCCAAGTTCCCTTCCAACCCTGTTATTCTGTATTTTATGACTTATTTGATGTTGGTGTAGAATATTGCCATTTTAACATCTTTACCATACAACTGAGAATGAAACCACATTGTCTTGACACACCCTTCATTTTGCTTCCAGATAAGCAATGTTCCAGCTGTTTGCTAATTGGAATAATAGTTGCCTAAATGAGTGACACACACACACACACACACACACACACACACACACACACACTGGGAGGGAGGAGAAGAATTCATCTCTTTTTCTCCTTCCTTCACCTCTTCTTCTGAAGACCTCCAAATCAATAATAATTTTGTTTGGCACTACTCAGATTTCAGGGAAAACAGCTATTTTTCACTCTGTCCTTTTGTTTTCAGGTTTAAAACAGAGAAACTGCTGAGAAGGAAAATTTTGAGGTAGCCTTGGAGTTAAGAAAGAAGCATTTCCACTTAATTTTCCACCATAAGAGATCATGGAAAAGCCAAGCTGCTTTCACAATTCTTATGTAAATATCTCACTGCTAATATTTCTTATACTGTTGTCATTTCAGGGCCAGCCGTGGTGATATATATGAGACAGATGAACAGAAGGACAGATAAAAATAAGGGGATGGAAATAAAACTTTGGTCTTGCAAACAATAAGAGTGATGGACGTGAGGGACGAGGGAAAGGAAGATGGATAATAGTTTGTGTTTTTATCCCAAAGGTTAATGTAGAGTCTTGAAAAATAATTAAACATGTTTGAGGGATTGTGCATATAATCTCTGGAGGACCTTAAACTATGGAAGAGTGATAAATCAGATGATGGCCAGAAAAAAAATGGGTTCATACTGAGTGGAAACAGCTTCTTTTATATTTTTATTGTTGAAAAACGTATTTTGGCTAGCCCTTGTCCAAGAATTCTGAACTTGGGATACATTGCACTCTTAATTTGGATTGGATTTTCTGAAACAGTATGCAAGACAGCTGTCTGGGAATTCAATAAAGCTTGGCTTTCCAGTCCATCTAAATGTACAGTCTGAGGCTTAAGGAAAAATGATTTGGAAAAGTTTAGGTATCAAATTTGACACCAAAGGTGAAAGCAGCATTGTATGCTTTGGCAGATCGATAAAATAATAATTTTCTTATTATCATCAGCTTAAATGAAGCCTTTTTCATGGAAAGTTATGGAATTCAGTCAATTCTCTATATAGATATTTTTTGACCTTTTGGCTTAGGGTTGAAATATGACTAGCCCAAAGTTACTCAGCCATACAAAAATGGGAAAGAAAAACAAAGATATAAAAGGGTAGAAAGGGAAAAAGGACCACTATAAATTCAAATAAAAACCAGGCCAGATTTTAAACAGAACCTTCAAACATGATCACACTGACTAATAGGGACCAGTCCTTTCATAATATTAATAAAGAGTGAATCCATAATCAGAGAATGAGCACATATAAAATCACAGTTGCACTTTTTTTACCATTTAAGAGTAATTGTTTTGGATGTATCACATGTATGATAAATCAAAATCACCTTCAGAACTTTCATATGGCTCTTTCTAAAACTCTACTAATGAACATATGTATATTAAAATAAAATAAAAGATGACATGAATGAATGTGCCCTAGATATTTTTACATTTCCAGAATAACTATGACTGTCAGGCACCTAATAAGCATTAAAAATATTTTGCCAAATCACTATGATTCATCAAAAGAAATATAAAAATCTTGGAGTCCTAGCAGGCAATCACTTAAATATGAGCCAGCGGTGTGCTGCAGCTGCCAAAAAAGCCAACATAGTTCTAAGCTGCATGGAGAGAGGGATAGAATCAAGATCACGTGAAGTGTTAATACCACTTTATAATGCCTTGGTAAGGCCACACTTGGAATATTGCATCCAGTTTTGGTCGCCACAATGTAAAAAAGATGTGTAGACTCTAGAAAGAGTGCAGAGAAGAGCAACAAAGGTGACTAGGGGACTGGAGGCTAAAACATATAAAGAATGTTTAAAGAATGCTGGAATTGGGTATGTCTTAATCAAAAGAAGGACTAGGGGAGACATGATAGCAGTGTTTTGATATCTCAGGGGCTGCCACAAAGAAGAAGGAGTCAAGCTATTCTCCAAAGCACCTGAGGGCAGGACAAGAAGCAATGGATGGAAACTAATCAAGGAGAGAAGCAACCTAGAACTAAGAAGAAATTTCCTGACAACAATTAACCAGTGGAACAACTTGCCTCCAGAAGTTGTGAATTCTCCAACACTGGAAGTTTTTAAGAGGAGATTGGACAACCATTTATCTGAAATGATATAAGGTTTTCTGCCTGATCAGAGGGTTGGACTAGAATACCTCCAAGGTCCCTTCCAACTCTTCTCTTCTCTTCTCTTCTCTTCTCTTCTCTTCTCTTCTCTTCTCAATATTTATTGAGACTCCTAGTGATTGATTTGTCAATAGTAAGAACTTTTTATTCCAAGAAAATAAAAATATTTAAAGTCATAATCCTACTTTCCAATATTCCTATGTGTGCGTGTATTTGTGTGTTGGTGACTGCCTGGACAAGTCCTTGCAGTTTTCTTGGCAAAATTTTGGAAGTTATGTCCTTGTCACTTCCTAAATTTTTTTTAGTACCAGTAGTAATTTTGGAATTTCAGATGCTGCTGAAATCAGTTAAATAGATTTAATTAACTATTCTAACATTCTACAATGGTAGATGAGAACTTTATATATATTTTATATATTATACATTTTCATGTTTTCAGAAATGTTACAATGTTTAGTTTTTGATGAACAGATAATAGTATAGCTAGATAAAAAGATTGGTTACCTGTAATTTCTGGAAAAACTATTTTATTTTTAAAAAATATTCATTTCTTTGTCAGTAACCTTTATTGCATGGATACCTTTTATCTGAATCATCATATATTGTGCTCTGAGCATCCTTGATGACAGAAATATTATTTCATTGTTTTTGCTTTAACCAAGAGACCAACAATTTTACCAAATTTCCAGTGTCTCTGGGTTCAGTGATTCAGTGAATATTCTGTATTAATCACACAGTGCGAATAAGCAGTAGTTTAATATTGTATATGTTCTTTCGAGCTAGTCTTGGCTACATCCATGCAGATTTTCAGTAGGGTTTTTGGAAATTGTTTACCACTACCTCCTTCCTAGGTCTGACAGAGAATGACTGGTCCAAAGTCATCCAGTTGCCTTCTGTGCTCAAGGTGGGACCTCAATTCAGATTTCTCTGCTCATAGTCCAGCTACTTTAGTCACTTACCAGACTGGCTTTTATGATGCATGCTTTCTCAAATTATGTTTCTATCCCAGACTCTAGATTCTTATTTCTGATTTTGGTTGCAGCTCTTCCTTGTATTCTTAAAGGTTACTCCTAATTCCAATCACATGAATTTTCACACCAAGCATAGATAAATTGTGCAATTCCTTCTAGCTCCATTGGGGGAATGCTTATTTATTTGTTCTACATTTAGTCTAGGCAGTCTGTTTTCAAGCAAGTATGTCCTTCAGTTCTGATGGATAGTTTAACTACTTGTTTGTGCCTTTTGTCTTCTTGCAAAATTGTTTCTGAAAAGATCCATGGGAATAGCAGTCCCTGAGAAGTCCAGGGGCCACAGGATTGCCCACAAAGTGGTGGCTAAAAAAAAAAGCCACAATATAAAAAAATGTTGATAGTCTAGAAAGAGTTCAGGCAAGAGCAACAAAGATGATTAGGGAACTGGAGGCTAAAACGTATAAAGAATGGCTGTGAGAATTGGGTGGTTTAATTAAAAGAAGGACTAGGGGTTACTAATCTAGAAACAAGGAGAAATTTCCTGACAGTGAGAACAATTAATCAATGGAACAACTTTCCTTCAGAAGTTGTAGGTGCTCCAACACTGGAAGTTTTTAAGAAGAAATTGGACAACCATTTATCTGAAAGGGCATAAGGTTTCCTTCTTGAGCAGGGATTGGACCAGAAGAACTCACTTCAACTCTGTTATTCTGCTATTCAAAGTTTTTTTTACCACTTGATACAAATATTGAGACAAACATACCCCTGTCCTCTTATCTTGTTCCCCCAAATCACATTGCTTCTCCCTAGACTGCACCACGAGTGTTGGACTTGATGTTATAGTCATTAGGTCTAGTCAAGTGAAGGCAGGAGGTAGCTATTTGCTAGGAAACTCTGTAATTAACCTCTGATCTGAACTCAGGAAATAGACTTCCCTAAACTATTCTTCAGCCTGAGCTTGTTGGTTAAAATTAAACATTTCAAACATTACTAATACATCTCTTATAACAGGAAACAGTGTGAACATTAATCCACACAAATAGAAACAAATTGTGGGCTTACACTCAGCTTTATTGGCATTTTCTGTTGGACTTCATTTCCCTTTTTATAAATAAGTTAAAAAGCTCAGGATTTTTCGTTTTTTTGGTGAGGTCTATAAAATATAGATTATAGCAGTGGTGGTTTCCAATTTTTTTACTACTGGTTCTGTGGGTGTCGCTTGGTGGGCGTGGCATGGCTTGGTAGGCGTGGGTTGGTGGGCGTGGCAGGGGAAGGTTACTGTAAAATCTCTATTCCCACCCCATTCCAGGGGAAGGATACTGTAAAATCTCCATTCGCTCCCCACTCCAGGGGAAGGATACTGCAAAATCCTCATTTCCTCCTGATCAGCTGGGACTTGGGAGGCAGAGAATAGATGGGGGTGGGGCCAGCCAGAGGTAGTATTTACTGGTTCTCCAAACTATTCAAAATTTCCACTACTGGTTCTCCAGAACTGGTCAGAACCTGCTGAAACCCACCTCTGGATTATAGCCATAAAAAGCCAATAAGGATATTTTTTAAAAAAGTTCTTTATGTTGGAAATTAACCATGGATGTTAATATTGTTTCATATTTCCCGAACATCAAATCTAGCATAAGATAAATGGATACTTTTTCTTATTTAAAACAGTTTAAGTGTTGATCTATTCCATAGGTTTAAAACTCAAGACCTGGGGGCCAGATCTGGCCCATGGGGTGCTTTGATCTGGCCTGTGGGCTCCCTTGGAAATAGTGAAGGATTGGCTCGCAGTGCCTCTGCCAGCGAAAATGGAGCTCAGGAGGGCCACATGCTGGCAGAGGGTTGCAGGAGGAGAGTCCGTTTTCTCTGGCAGATTGCTTGGGCCACATCTGCCCCTGACATGAGTGATCTCGAGCTGGCCATGTGCACCCTGGCCATGCTCACTCCAGTCCCTGAGGTCAAACACAACCCTGATGTGGCCCTTAATGAAATTGAGTTTGACACCCCTGATCTATTCCATTAAATCTGTGTTGGCTAATATACTGGATGATAACCAAATGAGTTATCAGTAATCTATTTGTAAAACACAAAGCTAAATATTTGTATGCCCATAACTTGAATGCCCATAACATAAGAGTTGTGGTGGTGCAGTGGTTAGAGTGCAGTACTGCAGGCTACTTCTGCTGATCTCGGGCTGCCAGCAGTTTGGCAGATCGAATCTCATCAGGCTCAAGGTTGACTCAGCCTTCCATCCTTCCAAGGTCGGTAAAATGAAGACCCAGATTGTGGGGCAATACGCTGACTCTGTAAACTGCTTAGAGAGGGCTGTAAAACACTGTAAAGCGGTATATAAATCTAAGTGCTGTTGCTAAGTGCTATTGCTATCAGATGGCACACTTTCCATTTTTATAAATAAGCATTTTTTTAATCAGCTGGGACCTATTTATTGGTAGCCTTTTCAAGAATTTTAATTTTATCTCAGATGTGGTTTACTATCTTCCAGTCTAATCTAACCACAATTGTACCGTAATAATATAATTATTGATTTGATTAGAAAGCAGAAATACCTTATGATGAATTCCTTGAGAAAGAGCTGAAGAATATATGTATATAAATACAACTTTTCCATAACATTCCATTGTGTCAAAAAGTTCATATGCATACAATAGTGTAGATATACATGAAAATAGATTCAAATAAATCCCATATTACAATAATTATATTTTCTATTGTTGGAAGAAACATCCTTCTGGGTTCTGCTCCAAGTGGGGAAAACAGACACTGGAAACATGGAGACTGCTTGGAAAGATGGTTTAATGGTGGACAGGATCACATGGCTTGAGTTCCTGAACAGAAAAAGGGGCAGATACAGAAAATCCTCGGGTTTTTATGCTCTCTCTGGCTCTGCATTTCTTGGGGCCACGAAAGAGTATCCTGATTGGTTGTCAGACTCCCAGGGGGTGGGGGTCTTGCTGGCTGATGCAATCTTCCCAGGTGCCATGTGGTGAGCCTCGTCTAGATGGGTCCCATTGTGTTAGTTTCTGTTGCTATTGTGTAGAGAGCTAATCCTATCTTTCGCAATTCCTACTATGGCTCTGCCTGAAGGAGGTAGATCTTTGTTATGTAGAATAGACTGGCCCAAGCCTTAATGGCCCATTGACAAAGGGTGGGGGGCAGGAAGATGGGAGCTGCTTCAAAACATGCTTATCCCAGGGAAATATAATATTCTGCCTTTTTCATATTTCCTAAAATATTTCACTCTTCCAGGAGAGGGGTGGGTGCTAACTTCCTACACTATAATAATAAAAATAATAAAATATAAAGTTGTATGAAGTGTAGATTTTGCTCAGGGAGCTCCACATATTATACATGAAGGTTTCTTCTCATTCGATCACTAAGGAAATAATTTTAGAAGATTGAATTATTGGCCAGAATTCACCTGAATTCCATGGAACTTGAATCTGATCTGTTTGCTCCTAATTTATCACGTTCCACACTGTGATACATTCTCTTTTGTTTAAAACATAAAATAGAAATGATAAGGAAATATGTAACAGGAGTAATATACTGCCATGAAAGATAATACTTGGAGTCAGTTAGGTTCTTCTGGGGTAAAGGATTTCTTGAACTGATTGGGGTACTGAAAATAAATTAAACCCACCTTCTTAGCAAGTGAATATATTTCCTTTACATGGATGAAGCACTTTGTTTTTGCTTTATCTATAATCCTTCCTACCTCTCAGCAGGTTCTTTCTTCTGAGCCAAAATGAATATTAAAGATGGTAGCAACCAAATTATTAAACAGCTAAAAAAACTTCTGGGAGATGGAGGATTACAGCATTTCAGCCACTCTAAATTTAGCAGAAAGTATTTGTTTGGCAACTTTTAAGAAGGGTGCATTTAAGAATGGATTCTCAACCTTTGGAATTTTAATATGGCTAGCTGGAACATTCTGGGAGTTGAAGTCCATCTATCTGAAAGTTGCTAAGATTGAGAAACACTGGATATATAAGATCAAATCCCCTGTAAGAAAATGCAAACAAAAAGGAGTTTTTATTCCTCTCTCAACTGACTTTTGGTTAACTCCTAAAGTGAATGCAAGGAGAGTCTTCATCATTATACCAGATGTGTCTTTAGAATATAGAATATGGAGTCATAGGGTTGGGAGGGATCTGGAGATCTTCTAATCCAACCACCTGCTCAAGTAAGAAATCTTATATCATTCT